GATGCAAAAGCGAATTTATATGCAAGATTGATATAGGGTAACAAAAATTGTGCCAGAACTCCCATTTTGTCTCTACTTAAGGTAAGTCATATACGGGATTATAATTCAATAGTTTCTTTAAGTGATTAATTTTGAATGGTAATTACTAGTCAATAGTGTTACTTGTGAAAAACGGCGACTCGGTCGCTTCACAATCCAAAAACTTGCATAACCTATGGTAAGTAACCTTACGAAAGAGGCGTTTTAGATTTGGCTTGAGGGTAATTAAGGCTTCGGTTACTCTGGGTCGGCAACATTAGGTCATGTGTGCAATGACTCGTCAGTATATAACTTTGGGGATCAAAGAGTGTAATCTAGCACAAATGTATTTTATGTAGTGTTATGAGTAAATGTATTTTAATAAACTTGGGACTTATTATTTTTTTTTACTAAAGCAAAACGAGACATCATTTTTCTCGGTGTGGTAACGCCTTTATTTATAATAAACTTTTACTTAGTAACAAATATAGTGATTATATCTCTTATACTCATTAAATTGATTATAACCATGATATTTTTTATAACTATTAAAATGATTAAATTGGTTATAACTAATAAAACTATTATCTCTCTTATAACTATTATATCAGTTATATCTATTATCTTCGTTATATTGGTTATCCGGGATATATCTATTATCCTCGATATATTCAATATATCGCCGGTAACTCTTTTTATGGTAAGAGATCGTTGTAGCCGCAATAACGTGAATTGGCGTGGTGCCTTTAGGTCATGTTTTTCCGACCTCACAATAGTAATTATAAGGGTAAATGCTATCAAAGTTAAATTATACATTGGTAAAATATATTTCATATGCTACGAAGAATTCTTGAGGGTAAAAATCGAGTGTTTAAATACTTTTCAAACAATACATTCAAGAATAATACTAATTTTAAAAGTTTCTAAACTAACTAATTTGTTTCTATACTATCGTGTAAGCTATATTATTTCTAATCATTAAAAGATACTAAAAAGTAAAAGATTAGTTGCCATCGTGGATTAACACATGGTCTTATTGATAATGCAAACGATAAGTATTTGTTTCCTTGGTTTCATATTGGTCTTGATTTCTTGTTTTGTTTGTCGCGCTTGATCTACTTCTTATTATTTTAGATTCGCGCTTGTGTTCCGATTGTTATCTTGCTGATCGTATTATGGTGTCGGCATATGATCATCCAGTGATCATAAGATCGTCAGTTTCATTCGGATAGTTTCTTGGTTATATTTGTAATAGATGATCTTCCGGTGATTTCCTTTGTGTTTCCCTGTACACCGGAAGCGCTGTTAGAGCCAGGGAGATCAAATGACGCTCTATTCGTTTCTGCAAGCAGTTTTCTTAAATTGTTCGAAAGTCACCTGTTCTTTATAGACAATTCTAGTGATACAATATTTCGTATACACAAAATTATACATCCTCTGCCCTTGACCCGCAGGATGTTAATCAGTCCTTTTGGATCGGGTCCAACCAAATCCTTGAAAGGATCGGTAGGGATTCGAAGGGATTCGGTCCTTAAATAATATGAAAATACAATACATTTTAGGCGGCGTCCATAATTTACGTTAAACCAGTACTGTATTGTATAGAAATAGGGACCTAGATAATAATATCATAATGGTATTGTTTTTGCATTTTCTTCAATATTTCTATAATGGTTTAACGTAAATTATGGACGCCGCCTTATAGGACTTTAGACCCTTAACAGAATAATTATAACAATACAAAATTAATTTGATTGGGTACTTATTAGATAGATTGAATTCAGGATCTAAGCCCTATAAAATGGGTTGTATTTTTCATTATGTTTTCATGTGATTTAAGGATCGAGTCTGGGACCGTCCTTTTAAATCTTAGGATCGGACCGACTGGATTCGCAATTTAACACCCTTACCCATAATTACCTATGGATTCGGGTTAGTGATGCGGTATAAATGTCTCAACAACAAAAACTTTAGTTAATTACGGCTTAAGCCTTGGGACACCATTGGGACAATTCTACCGTATCACTAATTCAGGTACATAACCGCCTCTTGACCCAGTTCTAGAATCGGCCCAAGTACAGTTTGCACTATTTCGGAAGAACTTGAATAAATTGTGCAAGCAGCTATTCGATAGTACAGTACCTGTAGTACTATAGTATACGCTACCTTTATGACTCCAGATAACAAGCACCAACTATAAGTAAGTATTCCACTAGTATCATTCATGACAGCAAGTTTTTTGAAATATTCGAAGTCCTTGCGATCGTCCTTTTCATTCCCTATAACATTATCCAACTTTACATAACAATTAAGCTTCAATGAATAGATACTGAGAGCAATATAAAAAAGTTTGTTTATAACGCTATTAGTTATAAAGTAAAAAAAAAATATAAACCACGGTTTGAAAGTACTGTAAAGGAGTGAAACTAAGAACTTATAAAAAAATTTAAGATTAATCAACTTTATTTTATAACTCTATTCAAAATTTTTATTTTATTAATTAAAAAAGGAATAAATAAAAAATTTCTTTAATTTTTAATTAAATATTATATTATTATTACACCTCACGCTATATCTAATTATTAGTTGAATCCCGCCAGTACATGCATTTTCTAGTCAAATAAATAAAAATTATGCTCTACAATAATTACAACCAATAATGCCGTAAGCTCTATCAATTTCAGATACTGGTCTGAGAAAAGCAGGAATACATCCACGTTCACTATCACCATATAAAAAACATGACTTTGGTGTAAGTTCATAAGCAAAATTAACACATAAAGTCTCATTATAACATCTTTTACAGCATTCTTCTGCATCATCTACATTATCGATTTCCATGTAAAAATTAGGTGAATCACTGACATAACTGGTATCAAACGCTTGGTTTATTCCAAGTCCACGACAACAATCATCGATAGGAATAACAGTGACATTATTACATTCTTTAGAAGGCAACGGATGGTGTCCAGATTTCGCATCATGATATTTATAATTTGCATCGATACTTAATAATAGTAATTGTGTTAGAAAAATAATTAGGAGCGAATTAAAGATTATTTTATTCATCGTTAAATTCAGTTGGCAGATTTGAAATTTATTTTTATTCATAAAATACGTAGATACGTTTCATTTTATAACAAAATTTTAAAAAATTTATTGTTACATTAAATTAATGAAATACATGAATATAATAAAAGACGAGCACAAGCTGCAATAAAACTTATAAACAACTCAATAAACATAAAGTTCAATTTTAAACCAATAAATGAATTACTGAATTACTAAGAAAGCTTATTTACACCGATTATGAAATTAATTATAAAAATAGTACGAAATAATACGATAATGAAAATTTTTTTAATCAAAAAGCGAAACATGGGTAAGGAACTCCTATTAATGCTATTAGTTATCGAAAAAATTTTTATGATAATCCTGTAATTCAATAATGCTTTGTAATTAGGCAAATATGAAACATGTTTGCTTAGATTTTGAAAAAGAAAATTTTATTATTTCTAACATTTACTTAATTATAAACATCATAAAAATTCTTTTGATAACATAATGACATTAGTCGGAGTACAGCGAAATGTGGAAATTTTGGGGAGGCGCTGTGCAAATTGTACATAATATTTTTATCAGGCTAATTTGTTCAGCAATAAAAAACTTGCATACCGTTTAAGCATTATCGAATTATCATAAAATTCTTTTGAAACATAGTGACATTAGTCGGAGTACAGCAGAATGTGGAAATTTTGGGGAGGTGCTGTGCAAATTGTACATAATATTTTTATCAGGCTAATTTGTTCAGCAATAAAAAACTTGCATACCGTTTAAGCATCATCGAATTATCATAAAAATTCTTTTGATAACATAGTGACATTAGTCGGAGTACAGCAGAATGTGGAAATTTTGGGGGAGGCGCTATACAGGTTGTACATAATACTTTTGTCAGGCTAATTTGTTCATTAATCGTTTATGCATGGACTACAGCGGATCAGTATGGTATTGGTGTACATAAGCAGTATGCATGGTGTAGGTGAACATAAGCAGTATGCAAAATTTTGATTGATGAACAAATTAGCCTGATGAAAGTATTATGTACAATTTGTACAGCGCCTCCCCAAATTTTCCATTATCAAAAGAATCTTTATAATAATTTGATGATGCGATAATTAGCTCTTGATTCAATTTTGATAGTTTCGCAGATCAATCAGTATAGTATAAGTATTTTGCAGAGATTCGAAAAATTGGCCTAGCCTATGCTATACTGATCTGCATGTAATATAAAATGTAATCAAGAACTTGCTTAACTTATTCATGAAAAATAAAAACTTGCATTCTGCTTATGCATGAAATTTATACGTGCCCTATTTTGCAAAAATTATTGGTTCTTAAGTTATAAAATTTATATCATGTAAGTTTGTATTGCTAAACAAATAAACATGATAAGAGTACATTCGTATGTACTGAACGTACCAACTAAATTTTCTTTATATAAGATGTTAAAAAGCATCTTTTTATATTTTGAATTTCTAAATATATTAATAAATTTTTAAAATTTTGTTTTTATAATATAATTTAAGTCAAGCAATATGAAATACAAAACCTTTAATTTTTTTCTAATTGCACTTTTTTTAAGTTTACTTGTATTAACTATTAATGCAAATACACATAGACCCATTCATTTAAATAAACATGCAAATACACATAGACCCATTCATTTAAATAAGCATGCTAATGTTCATAGACCGACTCGTTTTAATAAACATGCCGATGTTCATAGATTCACTAGTTTTAATAAACATGCTGATGAACATCACGCTAAACCTACAAATACCAAACCTATGTATACTGAACCTACAAAGACTAAACATACAAATACTAAACAAACAAATACTACACATAATTCAACATGTCAAGCACGTGGTAGTCCAGGTTGGAATGACTTAGCGTACATACCTCTAGGATATTTTTATTCAGACAGCTCTACTACTCCGCAGGAATGTTGTAACGAATGTATTACCAATCAAAATTGTTTTGAATGGTACTTTATACCTATTGATTCTCTTTGTTATATTGTAACTAGTAATCCATGCTCAAATGCAACTTATTCAATGAGCTGTGTTGGTCTTGAAGGTGGAAGTGTTCGTTGTAGTGGTAGCAGTAACTGGTAACCAAATTAATTAAAAATTAATATATTTAATTAAACCAATAAATTAATGTTGCACTTTGATTGTTACTATTCCAATCAATATTTCTTAACATACTTTATAAGTTGTAGAATCAGATGAATTTGTAGTTTTGTATACTAGAATAAACAATCGTTATAAAGGATATATATTGTAATTTATGCTATTAAATAAACAATAATTCAGAGGATCTAGTTAATAGAACTGTTATCGGCTTGGATGTTTGACTTGGCTTCCAAAAGTCAGTCTTCAGCTTGAGCTATGGCATTACCATGACCTAGGCCGTGGTTTTTATTTTTATTAACATTAAATTGATAAATATATATGGGATCTTTGCTAACAAAATAAGGCTTCGAGGCTATGTTGATTTTGTGAATAAAAATTAAATTTGCCAGCTATCTAGTTATTCAATTTGAATGAATTTTTTTTTAATTTGTAGATTCTATTGAGATTTACAAAATAAAAAAAATTCATTCAAATTGGATTGCTAGATGGTTGGCAAATTTAATTTTTATTCACAAAATCAACATAGCCTCGGAAGGTCATTTTGTTAGCAAACTAATTTCGGAACAGTAAGTTCACGTGTTTAATTTGGACTAAGTCCAATAAAAAAATGTCCATGTCCATTGGTCCATATTGTCCACGTCCATATTTTGCTGTATATACTATTAAATATGAATATGGTCTTTTTTGAACGTGAAAAAAAAATACATCCCATACTCAAAATTGCATTTAAAGTTCAAATATGTATAAAATCATCGTAGCTACCGTAAAAGTGCGTATACAAGGTTCTGGTCTAATACATTCCATCAATTTTAAAACCTTTAATAGATCCCGAGTATGGTACACGGTTGATAGGATATCGTAAAAAGAAAATTTTAAAGTGCATACAAAGTCTAACCATTTGAAAAAAAACACATTTGATTAATAGAGATCTAATTCATGGTGGATCTACTATTTGGGATCTTGTAAAAAAAAAATCCAAAATCTTCTAAAAAAATGCATAATAACACCGAATATATGCATGTATTTATTACTGTTTTTTAATAATAAAAAAAAACATTTCTCTCTCTCACTAATATTTTCTTTTACATTATCTTACCTTTTCTCCTCCAATTCATCTAATCACTATCAAAATCAATCAAATTCTTCATATTATGAAAAATTCCTTCGTCATCTGTGTACCATAATTCTAATTTATTCTTTTTCGAATGATATTTAAAAGCAGTTTCGAGTTCATGAGGTGTTGATATAGTAATAAATTCTCCAACATCATCCTTATATTTGAAATTTTTTATACTACGCACATTTATGGCTGATTCAATGCTAGATTTGATCTCTTTGTATGATTGAAGTTTTTTGAATAAAAATATTCTGATATCGTTACCGGTATGAAGTTTTATAATGTAGTGTTCCTACATTAACATCAATTATTAATATATTATCTTATCAAAAATTTAAATAATAACGATATAATTGTACAGTATATTAAACTTACATTGATATTAAACGAATTATGATTGAAAGTCCATCTATACCCCCAAGAAGGTGTGGTACGGATTCCATCGTTTGTTGGTGTTTTATTAATTAGATAATCGATATGTAGCCCTGCGATGTCAATTTCCTTTTCTGGAACATCTTGATGAACTACCAAGGTAATCGAACTGGCCTTATCTGTAAACAGAATATTAAATCAGAACTGCATTAAACATGAAAAAATATATCGATATATATTTAAGAATTAGATTAACTGAAATTGTCTAGGATCACAGTTTTCTTGCCACGTGTGTAGCCTTCACCCCAAATAAATTCAACCTATTAATTAGAAAAAATGAAATAAAGTATGAAGAATTTATCGAAACTATCAAATATTAACTTTTTTAAAGAATACGTAAAATACTATTATTTTATTTTATTTTATCGTAGTTTTATTTAATAATGACCAAGCGTTTGTTATCATCTTCCTTGAAAATTAATCTCATAATTTTTTCTTGTAATTTTTCAATTCCTCTTAAAGCCTGCAACGGAATGTAAATCTGACAATTCTGCAGAAGATACAAAATAATCTTTGCTTCTAAATATTTATATCGAAACTTTGGTGGTCCGTATTTTTTTTTTAATGGTTTTTTATTATTGTTCGTGCTGTTTGAATTACTGGTGTTAGAATTGCTGTTATAATTTTCTTCACATTTGTTGATACTGTTTATGTTTTTTTCTTCATAATCTTCTATTTGAAGTGTTGAAAGATACAATTGCATTACTGGTGTAATTTTGGTTTTACCCATATTCCAAGGACGAATGTAACTTGCTGATTGACATTTAATGTTTGATAGTGCATTTCTAGAAACAGATTTATCATATAAATTATCTGCCTGCTTAAATTTGTAATGCGACGAAAAAGTTATGTCATTGAAAAAAAAAACCATCCATTAATTAATGAAATAAAAATAGACAAGCTACCATCTTTTCGACTTCCTAAATATCTTATTAAATCTGGTTAATTTTGTTTAATATAATAACTGTGTTCTTTCTTTAATAAATATGTAGAAAAAAATTATTTTTTTTAATTGGCGATGTTTATAACTGCAAGCTCAGAGAAATTGAATTGGCTCGCAACCGCAAGAGAAAACGGAATTCCAACCGTTAAATAAAGCCACCGTTGAATTAGTGATACAATTCCCACACTGAATAGAGTTAAACCTGGTTTGATTTTAGATTGGCTTAGCTCTTTTCAATATAATTAAAGCAGTAATCGGGACCCTATAACTGTTCTTGACATATAAGCCACAATCCAAGTTTCTTTTGTAAATGTAAAGACGTGATTAATTTAATTACATGATCTTATATTTTATTTGCGATACATACTGTGGCGACCATAAATAATGCAGGAAACAACGATTAGATCATATTATTTCGCAATTCTGGATGTATTTGTATCTTATTTTATTTTTTTATTTTACTTTTTTTCATAAATAAAATTAATAAATCAAATTTTCCACAGGCATAAATTTTATTTTAATTGGCATGCTGCTTGTTTACAGCACCAGAAACGTATATGTAGTCGCCCGCGCCTTAATTACACCACGAAATTCGTTGAACGGATCAGGTTAGTGCAAGTCTTAATTTAAAGATTCTTAAAATTTGCTTAGCAAAGTTTTTAAGATACATATTTAATTTCAATTACAAATTGTGATTAGAAGACAAGAGGGGTAATTTTTTCTAAACTATCGTTTTTTAATATTATTATACTGTTATTATTTTGTTAAAAAATAATTTTTTTAATACTGTATTAAAACTTACAATTTTTGATAGTACGGTATTGTAAACACTTTTTAAAAATTTATACAATGCTAAATATGTAAGCTAAAAATTAAATTATAATCTTTAAATCTATATCTTTTAAATAAAAAAAGTTTAAAAAAATCTATTTTACAGTTTTTATAATAATTAAGATTATATAATATACAAAACTGTAAATAATAATTTTTAAATAATAATTTTTTTAACTTTAAAGATCTGTTTTATAGTATTAGTTTATTTACAATTTAGGTTATTATATTACAATATGTTATATAACAGTTATAAGCAGGTGTACCGAATAATTGATTGTAGTGGAAATTAATTGCAATTATTTGACCACAATTAATTAATTGGTGGCGCAGCCACAATTAGTCAATTAATTGCAATTATTATAACAATAACGATAATGTTATTGTTACATAATTAATTTATATATTACATCGATATCAATAACAATAACATAATTAATTTAATATCACTTCGATATCAATATCGATATGTTATAATTTCGCTGCCTGATTAATTAATGATTAAATATTAAAAGCTTTTAAAGGCATGTATATCAAAAATAGTACAGTACACAGTTTTTATTTTTAATATTTTTTCAATGAATGCAAAAGTTTTAAACAAGTATTATGTCAAGGCCTTTTTTGAATCTACAACTGATGGCAAGTATAAATGTAACTTGTGTCCTTCTAGTTCACAACCAATTTCTCAAAAAAAAATGAACTGGTTATATGAACTTAATGAATCATTTGGAGCATAAGCATGAAAATTTCAAGTTGATTTATCAACAACATATTGAAAGTGCTATTTCTCCTGTAGCTAATATGTTTGATTATAGCACAAATGTGCATAATATCTTTAACTGGATAAGCCTAATTGTAAAATGTCAATTACTATTCAATACTTGCGAAAATTCTGATTTTATTGCACATACTGGTCTTTTGAAAGTAGATGTTTTCACGGTTATCAAGTATTTTAATGGTATAGCAGATATTGTACAAGAAAAAATAAAAAATACATTACCAGAAAAGATTAGAATAATGTTTGATAGGTGGACGAATAATGGAATTCATTTTATTGAATTGTTTGGTATTTATCAAACAAATCAAAAATCCAGAAATTTGGTTTTACTAGGCTTTTCACTATTCAAAGATTGCACTACTCAGAGTGCAGATACACATATTAAATTTTTTAAAGATGTTTTAGAATCGTATAATAAGAGTGTTGAAAATGTTTTATTTATTTCAGGAGATAATTGTAGTACTAATAAAAAAATAGCTAACGATTTGGATCTTCCACTTGTAGGATGTGCATCACATCATTTAAATTTAGCGGTTAACAATCTTATTGATTCTTCTGCAACGCTTGTAAGCCAAATTTGTAAAATTGTAATTATGATGTGTACTTATAAAAATCATGAAAAGCTTGCAAAGGTAACATTGTTGAAGCCTAAATTGAATAATATAACTCGTTGAATGTGTGTATTAAAAATGATCGAACAGTGTAAAGAACTAATTCCTTATGTTACTTAAGCTAATGGATTTTTGGGTTTATTTTTTTAAATTTTTTTAATTTTAGTTATTTTTTTTTAAATTTATTTATTTTTTAGTTTTATTATTTTTTAAGTCAAGATATTTTATTAGTAGAGCAATTAAATTTAACCAAAATTAATAATTTTATTAATTGACTTTGATATTTTTCTGAAGCAACGAATGATTTACAAAGTGAATCAATGAATCTAGACAATGTTCATGCTTATTTTGACTTGCTAATCGAAGAGTGTTCAGAATTAGAAAATCGTTTAGGAAGAAATACAGTGATAATTTATGATTCTCTTTTTGAAATAGCTGTAGTTAAAGTCTTGTATAAGCAAGAAGCTGTGTTATCACTTACTGAGAAACAAAAACTTTAACTATTTATTGTGAAACAAAATGTATAGCCAATAATTGAAGAAGAATTTATAACTATGAAAGAGCGAGTTGCAAAAAAACGTAAAATAGAAAAATCTAAATACTTAGATATGAATCTCATTTCTCCTACATCTAATGCTGTTGAGCGTTTATTTTCAATTGTCAAATATTATTATACAGATTGGAGAAAATCTCTTGATCTGCATACTTTAGAAAATCTTTTACTTCTAAAAATGAATAGAGAAATGTGGTCAATTCAAGATGTTAACCAGGTTAAACAATAAAGTTTTGTATTAAATAGAATTAAACCATAAAATTTAAGTCAGATTGCATGTTAAAAGTTATAAAATTGTTTAAAATTTGCAATAAATAGGTTTTTTTATAATACTAAAATCGTGTACTAAAATTAAATTTAATTGCAATTATTTTATCATTAATTGGGTTTCAATTAATTTTATGATAATTTTAATTGAATTTAATTGTATGACGTATATCAAAAATTAATTTAAATTAATTTTCGGTAGGCCTGGTTATAAGTAGTGTTTGCATTTAAATTATGTTCAATAAAAATTTTATTTAAACTTAAACAAATATAAATCGAACTAATTCAAATAGTGTCTAAGTAGGGCAAAAACAGGAGTCCTGGGGTAAAAACTAGTAAGATATTCAGAATTGGTTCCTTACCCCCTCTACAAGCCCTTCTAGATATATTTAATCATATATCGAATTCGTGCTCTAGATTACGCTAGAGCTAGATCCTGTTAACTTACTCTTCTTACACCTAAATTCGGGCTTCCATCATTAAAGAGTATTTAGTCTTTGTTAATGCTCTGGCTATGTTTTTAATCCCA